GATAAATGTCTATAAATTAAATGAATTAAGTATGCAGCTCCAAGATTCTGACAAAAAACAGATTCAGAGCCCATAGACATCATAGAATATGATAGAATACATTGGAAATTAAACATGTGATGAACACTTCCCCATGGCAGTTCAAAATCAGGTAGGGTGCACATAGCTCATTTCTTAAGAATTGTAAGTGAAGATGCAAGAAAATTTGAAGACAGCTGGGGATTCAGCAGGGTCTAGGTCAAGCTGGAACAATCTGAACAGTTTTGTTGAATTGAGACTGGGTTGGGGGTTCACTAGGATGGCTCCACGTGAAAGGCAGGAAAGGATATCTGGTCATTTGTTCAATGCTGACAGCATATGCAAGGACTTTGAGGTTGTACCAAATGTGTCCAGTGGCAGGATGATAATATGACCAGAGTCCCTTTAAGATAGGAACCAATGGAATGGCAGGGACAAAAACTTGGGCCACCTGTCTCAGCCTGAAAAGATTAAATATCTTTCTTTCTGGGGAGTAGGAGAGAGTAGATTGGACAGGTGAATGAAAAGTAAGGAAGGTTGGAAAAGGTTTTGAAAACCCCATGAAGGACTTTAAACCACATGAACAAAGCTGGGTTTACTCAATGTTAGTCCCTTAACTTTTCTAAGCAGGGTATATTGCTCTTCTGGATTCCCCTAACATTATTTCACTCCTTCTGTGGTAAGAAGTCTCCCATCAGGAGGACAATTGTTTGTTTACATTTTGGTTCCCTCCATGATTATTCTGTGAACTCTTCAGTAACATGGATTATATCTTATAGGTCTTTGTCACCCCAGGACCCAGCACATCTCCTCTCAAGTGATATGATCTTAATAAACATTTAAAAAATGAATAAAATAATAAAGAAATGAAATCCAAAAGGAAGGTGAAAAGGGATAAGATGGGAAAAGAGACCCAATACGTTATAGTCCTGTGTAGCAGGGACTGTGCTAGTTCTCCCAAGTCCTCCAGCTGGAAGGGAGTCCTTTCTCTTCTGACCAGTACTGTGCTTTGTCCATAGCTGTGCACTTCCGGCTTGCTGCATAATCACTTAGTTGTTATGAATTTTCATTATGTCCTCAAGTAGATGAAATCTGATATATGCACTTCACACATAGGCGACATGCAGTAGTTAAAAAGCAACACCTCAAGGAAATAACTAGTTTAAAAATGTTTTTTCCTTTAACCATTGAGTTGTTGCAGCTGACGGAGAACATCTGAAAGTGCAACCCTGCAAAATAATTTGTTTCTTTCCTTTATTTAATATTTAAAGTATTTTTATCCTAAAATCTGTTCTACTTATGAAATCCTTTATAATGGACACTACAGGTTGCATATTCAGTACCCATTCCTGAGAACGCAACTTAGAAAGAAAATGCAGATTTGCTTTTCAGGCATCTACTCTTTCCCTCTCTGACTTCTGGAATGCATCCCCAGCTCCTCGGATAGATCCTTTAGATCTAAGCCAGTTATGGTAATCCCATTCCCTTTGCTAGTGATTGGTTGAGAAATGACCAGAGAAAGTTGAAACAGAAGTGTCCTTGTATAGTGGGACTTACTGCAGAAAAGACCAAATCTCTTTAGCCTAACTGCAGTTTAAGGGAAGGAAGAAGATTCTCTTCAGGGCAGTGACCAGACATTAGGTAAAAGCAGATTTTTTTTTTTTTTTTTAAGGCTGGTGAGGTCAGCAAGGATCTTAATTTATTTCTCATGCTTTGCTTAGACAAGATAATGCACTTAGTACTGCTTGGTTGGTCTCAAATGCTTGGCCAGCTCTCAAAGAGCATTTGATTTGGGGAAAGGATAGAAGAGGGCATTCCCATCCAGCCTTATCAGGACCAGACAGTACTCAGAACTGCAGCCTCAATTGTGCGTGCCCTTTTGTGAAACCTTTAAAAGGCTGGATATGCTTACAGAGCCATTAACTCCAGGGTCCCAGAAGTCACCTTACAGGGATGGCTGAGCATCCCTCTCCTAAGTGCATAGCAGTCATTAAACAGGAGCCTTTTACTTTTAACCATTTCCAACCCAAGACATACCTAATAGTTGCAGGGAGAGCTAACAAATCTGTGTGGAAATCAAGTTCTATTTGTTGTATTAACCGATCATTAACTGACCCTAAAATGGGATGGCCAAAGAAGGTAACATGGCAGAAGTAGGGCTTTTGATCCATTCATTCCCTCATGAACTCAGCCTTTCTCAACCAGGGTTTCTCTTTTGAAACAGCACACAGTGATTTGAGTGACTGTTTTAGCAAATGTTTTCTCATTCTATGATTAGTACATAGCTAGTGTCATTGGTGATGCATGGGGGGCAGGTTAGTTCATACAGTGGATGATGGAGCAATAGGACTTAATTCTCTCATAGAATCACAGTTCATTTATTCAATATATTTATTGCATGTCTACTATGTGTTAGGTACTCTAATAAGCACTTGTTATCCAGCAGTGAACTAAACAAAATCCCTCCTTCATGAAGCTCCGTGGAGTTTACACACACCTACACTGTATATGTATATGAATAATATGCATGCTGTCTGTGTGGGTCTTAAAAAGGGGGATGGAATTTGGATAGTAGAAGGGAAGGGGAGGCCATTTAACACGATCTAGGAAAGCCAGCCCATCTGGAAATGGATCCAGGATGTAGCTGGTTTCTGCTCTTGTCATTTCCACCAACCAGGAGGGCTAAAAGGGCAGGCTCTTCCCATCTCTGCCCACTAAACCTCATAATCCCTAAGCACATTCTCTTTGCCCATGGAGCCATGGTTAGGCTGCACTTTTAGGGGGCTGAAGTGCAGGAGTCAGATGTCACTTAGGTTATGACCAGGAATCTGTCAACAAGGCTGGGCACCTTGAGCCACTAGAAGAGTAGGCACTCATCTACATGGTGTGATTTTGGGTTCCTGAAGTCATACTTCTCCTCACCAGTACTTCCTCCAGAGCTTGCTAAGGAGCTCCAGATGCCACCCTTACCTTCTCCTTTAGCCTAGGACAGAAGTTCCTGGACTTTCTCAGTTCATGGTACATTTATTTTTTTCATGGCTCTCCTAGGTCAAAAGAAATAGCTAACAGTTCTATTTATGAAGTAGTAAACACCAAATAACTTAATCTGTAGTAGTTCATGCAGAGTCTGGCATAATGTCTCTCTGTTTCCCTCCAACATTTAAAATGTGCCACAGTACACCTGTGAGTTCATTGTGGAATGCTTGGCACATGTTCGTCATTGCAGGCTTGAACTACAGAAAGTCTCTGTTAAGATTTAAATCATTCTACTAACCCCGAAAGCCAAAGGTGTCTATCTGGTTTGTTGGAGAGTGGTGTGAGCCTAAAGAGATGGAACCCAGGATGGTTCTATTTGGATGGACGGAAAGGAGGGAAAGGCCGAGTTATGAAGTGCTATGGGAGTCAGATCTCTGAGGGGGAAAGCCTGCTTGCCAGGAGGAGAAAGAGAAAGCAGTGAGAGCTATGCACGGGGTGGGGTGGGGGTGGGGTAGGGGTGGGGGTGGGGGGCTGCAGAGCCACAGGAAGTGAAAGCAAGTTAGCAGGTCAGGAAGTAGATACAAGCTATCTACCCGGGGGAGGGTGTGCAGCCTCCAGTGTGTACCCAGTCAAGGGAGAGCTTTCCCAGGTGTGACAAAGCACTCTGCAGAGCTGGCTCACCCTCTTCAGTTGGACCAGTACTTTAGTGTTGCTGAAATTCCAAAGGTGCCCCTCTTGGCCCCACCTACCCCACTCTTACGCGTGCTTCCAGGACAGGTAGGAGATGTCACCTTGGGATCCCAATCTATTTCTATGAATAAATATTTACCAGGCCTCCACCTTGAGCAAATGCTCAGGGGTTAGAGATGAATGAAATGCAGTCTAATTTTATGAGCTGAAAGTTCCAGCATCCATCTGGAAGACCTTCGGATCCTCCCTGTCTCCTTCCCTTTTGGCTGTGAGCATTTAGGTTCATCTGGTGTTGGAAGAATATACCTCTCCTGACCCGCTCTGTTGCACGAGGTTTCTTTGCATTTTGCCTATTAGTTTCCAGATTCCATAAGAAGAAACTGAGAGAGAACTACCAAATTCCACAGTCTTTAAAATGATGAATCCAAGATGAACCCAATATGTGTGTATCTCTAAGAAAGAAAAAGTGCTCCTAATTATAGTTGTAAGATTTCATTGATTTTAAGATATATTTTGTCTTTAGAAATGCTGAATGTTAAAGAGAAGGTATGTCTTAGACTAGATAAAATATAGTAACCTTGAGGAGGCATCTACCATGGTTAGGGACTCAGGGAGACACTATTTATATTTTATCTCATTTAATCCCTACCTTCAGCAGGTAGAGATTAAACGACCAATCTCTGAATAACTAAGGCATATTCAGGTTTTTTTTCCATATTACTAATACTCAATCTCTTAATTTAAGTTTCTCCAAAAGCAGAACCCAAGTCAAGAATTTAGATAGGAATCTAGCTTTTTGGGAAGTGATTCCAAATAATTCCCTGAGAAAACATGGAAAGTGCACAGGGAGAAGGAAAGTCAATCTAATGCTTTATCAAAGTCACTGGGTTTGGCTACAGAGGCTGAACTCTGCAGGGATCACTGAGGCCTACAGAATGGCTTCCAGAATTGTCTATCCATCAGAAAGGAGGCTGGAGGTTGGGGCATCTGTCCAATGGCTCCCATTTCCCTTTGGCTGAAAGTTGCCTCTGGGGGCTTTAACTATTTTCTCTTCCTAGAGAACCTGTGTGTGGGGGCTGAGTGGGCGGCTGTGTTTTTAGAGAAACCCTTGAAAGGGAAGAACAGAGGAAGGCAGGGATATACTTGAGGTGAAACTGCCCATGACAGCTGCAGCTGTGGCTTAGAGGATATGTTGCTCTGAAGATATGCTTTCATCACCTGCAGCGTTGAGTTCTGACTAATCTTAGAGTTTAGGATGAGTCAAGGGGCTGGGCTCCAGAGTTTTAATCTTGGCACTCTGTGGTTTTGGGCAGAACCCTTCACATCTCTGGGCCTCACTTCCTCCTCTGCTGGATGTGGGAGGTGGACCACACAACTTTTGAGGGGCCCTTTAATCAATATTCTATCACTTGACCCCAACCTTCTATTTGCCATGATTATACTTATTATGAATTTTAGCATTGGCCACCTTAGTATCCATCTCCTCTCTTTTTTAAATAGCTCCTTGAAGGCTACCCATGGTATGGAACGAGATTGGAATTTCTATGTCTATACTGGACAACCCTGAATCAACATTAAAATACAGAACTCAGTTACATTTTCCTCTTTCTTTAATCCAATCATTCATTCAATAAAATTTTATTAAGTGCCTGCCATGTGTCAATCACCATGCTAGACCTAGTGTAAATCAGAAAAAAAAAAAAGATGAAATCCCTGTCCTTTCGAAATTTACATTTTGATGGAGAAGGACATATAATAAATAATTATACAGTTAAGTACTGAGGGGAAGGTAAGCACTCTGAAGAAGAAAAAATATAGGCTAAGGAGACAGAAGTTGGTGGAGCACCATTTTCTACAGGATGAAGGCTAGTTGCTAGCACGGTCTTCACTGATGATCTTAATTGGTGTGGTACATGTCTGAGGGCCAACCCTTACAACATTTCTCTTTCCACAGTTGAAGACCCCTCCCTTCTATTTCTAGTTGGAGCCTCATAAGAGGCTCCTACCCCTTCCTTCTATTTCTAGTTGGAGCCTCATAAGACAGGTTGTATTTTCCTAAGATGGCTGTAACAAGATCTCCTGTTCTATATGCTCTTCTTATAATGTGACTTTTAAACTCCTCCCATCATAGGTGAATACAATGCTCTTCCCTTTGAATCTGGGTGGGTTTACGACATTGGAATAAGTGATGTTATTAAAATTCTGAGGCTAAGCCACTGAACGTAATGGAGTAAGCAGGGACTCAAAGAGATATTTGCACACTCGTGTTCATATCAGCATTATCTGCAATAGCCGAGAGGTGGTAGCAACCAAAGTGTCTGTCAACTAATAAACAGATCAACAGAAGTTTGCATATACATACAATGGAGCATTAATCAGCCTTAAAGAGAAAGGAAATTCTGACACATGCTACAACATATGAAGACATATGCTAAGTGAAATAAGCCAATCACAACAAACAAAGCTTTATAATTCCATTTGCAAGGGGTTCCTAGAATAGTCAAATTCATAGGAACAGAAAGTAGACTAGTGGTTGCCAGAGGCTAGGGAAGGGGGGAAATAAGGAGTTATTTAATGAGTGTGGAATTTCAGTTTTACAAGATGATAATGTTCCAGAGATTGGTGAACAATAACATGAATATATATTACTAAACTGTACACTCAAAAATGTTAAGATGGAAAATCTTACATTTTTTTAAACCACAACTAAAAAAATATGTGATGTATCTTCTGCCTTGCTTACTGGAAAATTGCACTAGGGTATTGAGCCTCCATGAAAATGGTCTAACTACTCTGAAGCCACCATGCTGTGAGGAAGTCCAGACATACCATAGGAAGTGGCCCTTGGCCATGAACAGAGAAAGATACCTGGCCAGTTCTGGCTTCTCCAGCCACCATCTGACTGCAGCCCCATGAGAGGCCCTGAACGAGAGCTGCCCAGCCAGGGTCTTCCCAAATCTCTGACCTACAGGAAGCTTGAGAGATAGTAAATAATTGTTCTTTTCTTTTCTTTTTACTTTTAAAGATTTTATTCATTCATTTGACAGAGATCACAAGTAGGCAGAGAGGCAGGCAGAGAGAGAGGAAGGGAAGCAGGCTCCCTGCTGAGCAGAGAGCCCGATGTGGGGCTTGATCCCAGGACCCTGGGATCATGACCTGAGCCGAAGGCAGAGGCTTTAACCCACTGAGCCACCCAGGCGCCCCTTTATTTTATTTTTTAAAAAAGATTTTATTTATTTGAGAGAGAGAGAGAAAGCATGAGTAGTGTGGTGGGGCAGAGGGAGAAACAGGCTTCCCACTAAGCAGGGAGCCAGATGTGGGGCTCAATCTCAGGCCCCTGAGATCACGACCCGAGCGGATGCAGATATTTAACTGACTGAGCCACCCAGTCACCCTTAAATAATTGTTCTTTTAAGCCACTAAATTTTGATATAATTTGTTACCCAGCAATAGCTAATCAGACATTTTGCCTCAATCTCTCAGGTCAATAAAGACCAGAGGCAAAAAAGGATTAAGTAGTTCTAGCCTCTACTGTGTAATGTCTGATGGTTTGGACTTGCAGATTCATAGCTCTAAAAGAAGGGCTCTGGGTCCATCACTGTAGTAGTTACAACTTTGTGCCCCAGTTAAGTGCTTGGGCACACTTCATTCTACAAATATTTACTAAGTACTTACTATACACTAAGGACTATGCTAGAACTACAAGATGTATAAGATATGCTCCTCACTCTCATGGAGTGTAATCTAGTGGGAGGACAAACATTAAACAAATTGTGGTTAAGTTCAATGAAGGAAAAGAACCAGGTGTGTTTAGAAAGAATTAACAGAGGGACATAATTTCGATGGACGACAGTGTCGGGGCAGGGTCTCTGAGAAAATGACATGTAAGTTCAGACTTGGGGGGATGAGTGGCAATAACCCTCAAATGGAAGAAACAGTGAAGAGTAATACAGGCTTAGCAGACAGCACTTGTGAAGGTTTTGAAGCCCAAAGGCCGTGCTATATAGAATACGCCCAACACTCATGTATTTGCCTGGGCCTGCTTACAGCTGTATGTGTGGTCCAGGTCTGCTCCACAAATCTCTCATCCTGTATGAACTAATGCTAGCAGGGTAGGGTCTTCTCATGGTGCTGGCAGAAGCCCAAGAAGCAAGCCCAAATATGCAAAGACATTACAAGCTGCTATTTATGTGCCTTCCACATCCCAGTGAACAAAGCAGGTCGCATGACCAAGCCCAGCATCAATGGAGCATCCATGGAAGAGAGGGAAAGCCGTACACTCACTTTTTGGGACAATCCTCTGCAACAGTCAAATGTCCTTTTCCTCGCCTATTATGACTATTGCCTGGGCTCCCCCTTTTCATTGACACTAATAACTTTGTCGATGTATGGACACCAACTAGACTTTTCTTCCTGACACTTTCAGGTGGGTCATGCCCTCTCTCCTGGCCCCTCAAGCCATTTATGGTGCTTCACGCTGATGCGTTGTTTGGTTTTCCTTCCTCATCAGTCTGCCCCATTCTGTAGCATTTAACCGTCTGTACCAGCTGTATCCGGCTATGACAAGAAGATCTGATGAAAATGTAGGGTGCTGGCAAAAATCATTTCATGTAGATAAATTAAAATAAAATTGCCTAGGCTGATTAAAACCCTGAAGAAGAACTGAATTGGAACAGGATAATAAAACTCACTTATCTTATAGAGATGCCATGAAAATTAGCCAGTCAGTATTCATGATTTGAATACAAAAGAAAAAACTGCTATTGATTTACATATAATGTCTCTGTTGTGCCTTCCAAAAGCCTCTTCAACTAATATATAATGAGATGGCAACACCAAATGTTAAGCTTAGGACACATTCATCATGTCATCATGGCTTTTCTTTTTTCTTTCCTTTTTTTTTTTTTTTTTTTTTTTTTGGCCAATCAAAGAATACCACTAGCAGAGGCAAAAGATAACAGCTCTCTCAGCAGTGGATGCAGAAAGCACAGGGAGCTGGCCCTGGACCTTTGAAAGAACTGCAGAGTAGATCGTAAAACACCACTGCATTCATAAAGTATGGTTCATTAGATTTTTGATGAAAAACTTCAAGAGGCATCTGTTTTCCCTTCTCTGCTCTCATCCCACTCCCCCATCACCATTAGAGGCCATTCTGGAGTAAATTATGGCCTGTTCTCAAGCCTGATTATTCCGGGCCCACTTGGCTTGGCTGCTTTCTTTCTCCAGCCAACCAGCCCTCCTCCATCTCACAGCTTCTTAGCCCTAACCTCTGAGAGCAACAGAAACAGAAATAAAGAGGAGGGACTCATGCCAATTCATTATGCCTCTTGGTGGTGGTGCTGGTCAGAGGTTTGCTGGGAAAGGAGACTGGAATTATGGCCCTCATTAACTGAGGCAAGGGAGGGTGGGCCCAGCGCTGGCCAGTCAGCACAACACCACAGTTTCAAGGCAAAACCTTCTTCCCTTCAAGCTGGTCTTAGCGATGTGTGTTGCGAAGGATGTGTATTGCGAAGGACTTTCCAGTGGCTGTTGGCTTTTTTCAGAGTCAAATGGCATGGTGCTGTGATGATAATAGTTATAATTAGACGAAGACACGTTCAGTTAAGTGGGTGCCACGCAGCGCGCTGAGTTATTTCTGGTGAATTGTCTCATTTAATCCCCACAAATCCCTAGAGGTGAGAACTGTTACGGTGTTTATTTTCCAGAGCAGTAGCCAACTTGCCCAATACCGTGGCCCAGGGCAGCAAGAGAAACTGCAGAAAAGACAAACCTGTTCTCCAGCCCCTCATCTCTCCTCAGGGACACCCTCCTGTCCCTGAAGCACGGAAGCCTGTGTGGATAGAACACTCTTCCTCCCTTGGCGGAGGATTCCCCACGGCTCCCTTCCAGGCCCTCCCCACTTGCTTGTTTGTGCAACATCCCGTGCACATCATGGCCATGCCCGCATGGTAGAGCCTCTGTGGGCTTCCTCCTCAACCCTCACACAGCAAACAAGGCCTGCTGAGGTAATGCAGCTCACTTGTTAGTCACAGCGATTTGAGATCTGGACTCCTGGGCTCCATTCCTGCCTCTATTGCTTATCCCCTCTGTGACTTTGGGAAGTCATTTAGGTTCTCTGTGCCTCAGTTTCTTGAGGCTAATAATCATACTTACTGTCTAGAGCTGCCGTGAAGGTCAAATGCTTGTAGGTTCAAGCAGTTGGCAAATGCTCAATAAATGCTAGCTCTTATTATTTCCCACTACATAGTTGTCACTGTCCTAAGACTAAAGAGGCATGAAAAACCCTGGGCTCAGATGAATTTAGAGGTGTTCAGCAAACTTACATTGTTCTGGGCTGCTCTAACTATTAATACTATTTCAGGCACATTATAGGTTAAATGGATTTTGGTGCGCTGACTTGGGAGACTTGTCACCATATATTACATATAAATGCACAGTGAGTTTTGAGCAACCAACTTTCAAAAGGCCCTTGGGAAAGCTCAGATGAGCTAATAGACTGGAGAAGAGGCATGAAGAAAGCTAGGAAGGGTCCCTGATTGCTTTAAGATAGGAGCTCTCCCAACCGGCTGGAGGTACTAAAACAGTAGGCAATGGGTTCAGAGGCAAGAGGAAAGCAAAATCATTTCCTGGAATTGTACCCACTGGGCAGTCCCCATCAAACCGCGGTTGACTAGTATGTTTCACTGCATTTGAGAAGCTGCACTCTATCTCGGCCAGAGAATAAGTTTATTATTCATTTTAAACATTGCTTAGGCTTAATGGTGTAATAGTTCATTGGGGGAATCCTTAGTGTAGAAATGAGAGCAAGGCTTTTGGAATTAGGGAGCCTTGGGTCAAATCCCAGGCTCTGCCACCCTATCAGCTGGGTGATTTAAAAGCCTTTATTTCCCTTTTTGTAAAACAGAGATAAGAGTGGTACCTACCTCACCTGTTGTTAGAATAAGATAATGGGTGCAAATCACTTTTAGCACAGATCCTGTCACGCAGGAAGTACTTAAATCATTGCAACTATTACTGTTTTGCTTTTTTCTTAAGTTGCAAGGTCTCTGTTGATAGGACTTTTGGGAGAGAAGAAGCTGGGAAGCGGGTAGTGAAGACCAGCAAAGGAATCCCTGCCCACGACCTGCTCATGGCTGTGGTTCCTGTATCATATCAGTGATGTGAAGCTGACACAAATGAAATGAGTGATCACAGGCAGAAGATCTCTCCACCCCAGCCACTCAGGTTTCTAAGGTCGACACATGGCTGGCTAAGGGCTTAGCAAGTTTCTGGGTCAATACCAATATTTGTCCATTACTAATCTAAGGGGAATTTTTTTTTTTTGCATTATTGCATTTGAATGTCCACACTGTTGGTGAATATATGTTCTCTAATCTAGGAAAATATGGATATGACCAGTGACTCCTCTAACTCTTGGTTAGTAAGCAGACTACTGTGCCATGTGCTCAACAAACCCTAACGTGTTTTGCACGTGTATTGCAAAGCAATACCCAAAGCTGATATAACCCATTTAAGAATTCGCATACTAGTTGTTTTGCTATATTATAGTGAAGCAGATATGGTAAGGTACTTATAAAATGACCATCTTCTGTTAAAACCAAAACCAGAGAATAAAATGAAAAACAGCCTTGAAAATTCCCCGAGAAGACAAACCAGTTCAGTTCTATAAGCAAAGCTTAATTTAGTTTACTTGCAAGACAAACTTGACCTGGGTTCTTTCTTGGTTATGCCTCTGAAAATCATAAACAAAACTTAAATTGTGTCCAAGCTTAGTAAGAGGAGACCACTGGCCAATTCCCTATCATTTAAGAAAATTCTGATAGTATAACTGGTCACTGTTAAGAAAGAAGTCCCTTCTTTCTCACTATACATGCTGCTTTATAATCATCTGTGTCCCAGCCTCATCCCACGTTTTGGTTTGTATGCTCCTGGTTTGCAAACTGCCTTTTTGTTGTGTGGGCACGATAAACTTTTGCTCATTACTTACTTCAGTGATTTGTTGGTTTTACCCCTGATATTTCTGAATATTTGACATTTTCCACAATTTCCATATCGACCAATCATATTTTTAGTTGTTCCCTTTGCTAGTTGATTAGTGTCTTTCTATTCGGGATCCCTGTTGACTGTTTCCCACAATCTATTCAGTCATGCCTCCTCCTCCTCCTCCTCCTCTCCCCTCCCAGGAGGCATGCCTCTCCCCTGAGCTCCTTAGAGGAGCTCAGCAACCCTCCCAGTCTGTGAGCTGGAGGGCTAAGGTTTGCAGAAATGGGGCTAGAAATGGGCCACAATAGGCATCATGCTGGGAGTGAGGAGTAAAGTAGAAATGGGCTGAGAAGGAAGACCTGGAGCACTGGCTCCGGTGCCTGACAGTTTGGGGAGGAAAGGAATGGGAGGGGTGAGGGTCAGAGAGGGAGAGAGAGGAAGGAGATAACAGCTTAGGGAACGTATGGTCTCTGTAGACTCAGGACGTTGAAGTCCGCATGGCAAGTTCACGCTTACCTTCTCTGTCGAAGCTTCGGTTCTCTCATCTGCCCCGTGAGGGCAACAATCTCTATCTCACGGTGTTGTTTCGGGAATGAAATTAGAGGATGTGTGTAAAGCACACCATACCGTGACCGGCGTCTTATAAATGCCCATGAATGATAACCTGTTTTTTTGTTTCTTTGTTTTTTTAATGGTGTGCTCTTGTCCTGCCAAATAGGGCATCTAGCCCGTCAGTGGAAACTAAGACTCTGGCTAGAAAGGGTAACAAGGATGATATTGATTTGTTACCACACACCCTATCTTGACAGATTTGTCACTATGCACGTACATGCAGTGGGGGGAGGGGCAGAGGGCGAGAGAGGATTTCAAGCAGGCTCCACACCCAGCGCAGAGCCCCACATGGGGCTTGTTCTCAAGACCCTGAGATCATAACCTAAGCCCAAATCAGGAGTCAGATGCTTAACCAACTGAGCTCCGACCCAGGCACCCCCTGGAATAAACTCATAACCTGTGGGCTCTTTCCTCTGTTCCTGGCAAGATAGTACTCTGAGCGTTTTCACTTGTTCACCAAATTACTCATTAGTAATGGCCTATTAAATTGGTAGAATCAGTAAAATGGTATTACATTTCAGCTTAGTTTAATTGCTTGGAATAATATTTGGGGGACTGTCATTACTCCTTTTTACTGTTTCTACAGGTCTTTAAAGTGAAAGACATGGGTGCCTGGGTGGCTCAGTGGGTTAAAGCCTCTGCCTTCGGCTCAGGTCATGATCCCAGGGTCCTGGGATCGAGCCCTGCATTGGGCTCTCTGCTCAGCAGGGAGCCTGCTCCCCCCCCCCCACCCGCCCCCGCCTGCCTCTCTGCCTACTTGTGATCTCTGTCAAATAAATAAATAAAATCTTTAAAAAAAAATAAAGTGAAAGACAGAAAGAAGGTTTAGTCCTTTTGGTTTATTTAAATAAGTGGTTCTCAAACATGTGTATCAGAAACACCTGGAGAGCTTGTTGAAACAAACACAAGAAGGCTAGATTTCACCTCCCAGAGATTCCAAGGACTGCACTTTGAGAACCCCTGATTTAAGCCAAGGCTGATTTCTTTGCACTTTCAGGTGTGGTGTTTAATTAATGATCCCCACTTGGCTCGATGAACTTTGTAGATATTTCTTGAGTTGTTTAAGCAGTAATTCATAGCTACTTCATGTCAAGAACATTTTTTTTTTCCTGCCCCAAGAAGTTACCAACCTAGGGGTAATGCAGGAAATAATAAGATATTGACCATTTTTGAGACACATTTAAAAAATAGAACAAAACTGGTGTCTGTGTTACACACTGATTAAGAACATGGACTTTGGTGTGGGAGACAAGGAATGAGGTCAGCTCTGCCACTATCTGACTCTGTGTCTCTCTGAACTTTGTTTCCTTGTCCAAAATGGGGTCAAGAATACCTTCTTGCCAGATTTAAAGAAGTCAATGTTTATACACTGCTCAGTAAATATTAGCAATATTTTTCAAAGCAATGTAAAAACTCAATAATGCCCAGCAAAGACTGTTAGTACCACTGTTCATATTTGCTCATTAGAACCCTTTATAGGGGCGCCTGGCTGGCTCAGTCATTAAGCGTCTGCCTTCAGCTCAGGTCATGATCCCAGGGTCATGGGAAGGAGTCCTGTATTGGGCTCCCTGCTCAGCGGAGAGCCTGCTTCTCCCTCTGCCTCTGCGCTCCCCCTGCTTGTGCTCTCTCTGTGTCTGGATTTCTCTCTGTGTCAAATAAATAAATAAATAAAATCTTAAAAAAGAAAAGAAAAGAAAAAAAGAAAAGAACCCTTTAGAAAGCCTGAGGACAAAGTGAGTTCTTTCCCTCTGAGGTGAAGGTTAGGCTCTGTCAATCCAAGTAGAGAGGGATTTCCAAAGGAATCTCTCACAAATTGTCATTCGATCTTTTCTAGAAAATTCACACTGAAGAGTTTTGTTCTCTAAAACTAAATACAGGCATTTCTGGGTGGCTCAGTCATTGGGCGTCTACCTTTAGCTCAGGCCATGATTCCAGCGCAGTATCATGGGATCGAGCCCCAAGTCAGGCTCCCTACTCAGCAAGAATACTGCTTCCCCCTCTCCAGCCCCCTGGTTTTTGTTCCCTCTCTCACTGTCTATCTCTGTCAAATAAATAAACAAAATCTTAAAAAAAAATTAAATATAAATAAACCATTCCCTTTGATTACCTACCAATAGAACAATCTATTTAAGTTAGTTTCTGTTTAAATTAATTAATAATTTGGAGTTTAGCATCAGTTACTACTAAAACATGAACAAGTTTGCCTTGTTTAGAGTATCTTAGGACGCAAGAGCTAGAAGGATGATAGATATCACCAGGCTCAATCCTTTCCTTTTACAGATAAGAAACCTGTGGGTCGGCCAGGTTAAATGAATAATTTGCCTGAAGGGTACATAACCACGATTTAATTTCTACTGGACTTGGTATCTAAATGCTCTCAGAAGGAATGGCTTAGGATGAACTCTTCTAAAACCACAAGTATTTTAGTCTCCTGCAATATGTAATTGGTTTATGTCCACACACCCTAAGTGGAAGGTAAATTAATTTAGTTTCTCAGGGCTGCATTATGAAACATTTATCTTGAGACATTCATCAGGATGTTACATGGAATAAAGTTAGCCATTTTATGATTGCATCATTGAAATTATTTTATTTCCACAACATGCAATTGACAACATATGCTTTCAAAAATTTCAGGTCAAAATGATTATGGGTGTATTCTACGATACAGAACATTGGAGCTTCAGTGCCTCTGTTTTCTATTCATATAAGTACACGTTGGACTGTTTTCCAAGAAAAATCTTGACCCTTTCTCCAACTGATCCTTTTTGCAGAGATAGACTGACTTTCTGTACTTCCAGTTGGTTAATTTTGGGTAGCAAAAAATTCAACTCATTTTTCTTTCTTTTTTTTTTTAAGATTTTATTTATTTGTTTGACAGAGACAGACAGCGAGAGGGAGGGAACACAAGCAGGGCGAGTGGGGGAGAAAGAGGCAGGCTTCCTGCTGAAGGCAGGAACCCGATGTGGGGCTCAATCCCAGGACCCTGGGATTATGACCTGAGCTGAAGGCAGATGCTTAATGACTGAGCCACCCAGATGCCCCTCAAGTCATTTTCTACACAATTGGTTAACGTATAGGGATTTGTACTCCGTATTTTCATCCAAGAACTTAGCTTCAAACGTTTAGCTGCTGAACTCTTATGAAAAGCTTGGTAAGGAAAAAATATATATGGAACTTGGCTTGAAGCGAGTGTAGTTCATTCATTATTTTAGAAATTCTGTTAGTGATAACAATAATAACAGTGATAAAAAAATAGAAATTGTTATTTACCATGTGCCAATTACTGAGCCAAGTCTTCTCATGCACTGTTTTTTTAATCCTCATAATCAGTGGTTCTCCAACTCCAGCATGCGCTAAATCACCTGAGGACTTGTTAAAACACAAATTGTTTCTGATTCAGTTGGAGTCTGAGAATTTGCATTTCTAATACATTCCTAAGTGACGCTGATGCCCCTGGTCTGGGGACCATGTTTTGAGAACTGCTGCTTGCTACACACCTACGACATAGGTATTTCAAACTTTACAGCTGGAGAAACAGGAATTGAGGTTATGTAACCTGCTCTATTCACAGCTAATAATTGGCAGGGATGGGATTTGAAAATTTATTTCTTTAATCCCAAAGTCTACATGTAGTCTTAATTTCTGTGCTAGGTGGTTTTGCAAGAAGATGTACTGTCAGGGAAGAATAGTAATAGTAACATTTTATAGCTTAGCAATAGGATAGGGAGAGGACTCTATTGCTCCCAATACTGAGGTTCAAATACAGGCACACTTTGGGCATATTGGAGGTTTGGTTTCAGACCACTGTAATAAAGAGAATATTGCAATAAAGCAAGTTAAATGATTTTTTTTTAGTTTCCCAGTGCATATAAAAGTTATGTTTCCAGTATACTGTAGCCTTTTAATTGTGCCATAGCTTATGTCTTATAAATGTACTTACCTTAATTAATTACCTTTATTGTTAAAAAAAAAGCTAACCGTCACTTGAGCTTTCAATAAGTCATAATCTTGTTGCTGGTAGAAGGTCTTGCCTTGTTGTTGACGGTTGCTGACTGATCTGGGTGGCAGTTGCTGAATGTTGGGGTGATTAGGTAATTTCTTAAAATTAGGTAACAATGAGTTTGCCACGTTGATTGACCCCTCTTTTCAAGAACAACTTTTCTGTGGCACGTGGTGCTGCTTGATAGCATTTTAACACAGTAGAACTTGTTTCAAAATTGGAGTCAGTCCTCTTATGCGCTGTTGCTGCTTAATCAATGAGTATAACATTCAAAATCCTTTGTTGTCAACAATCTTCACAGCCTCTACACCAGGAGTAGATTCCATCTTGGGAAACCACTCAGATGGTTCAATGTTCATCCCTATGAAGCAACTCCACATCCATGAAAGTTGTTTTTTTTTAAAGATTTTATTTATTTAAGAGAGAGAGAAAGAGAGAACAGGCAGGGGGAGCAGCAGGCAGGGAGAGAACCAGACTCTCCACTGAGCAGGGAGCCCGATGTGGGGTTCGATCCCAAGGCTCTGGGATCATGACCTGAGTTGAAGGCAGATGCTTAACCATCTGAGCCACCCAGGCACCCCCTCATTCATGAAAGTTTGATGAGGAGACTGCAGCCATCCAGTCACATGTTGAGGCTCCTCTGCTGCTTCTAGTCCTCTGGCTATTTCCACCACATCTGATCTTCTGGCCTCCATTGGATTCCTGAGCCCTCCAAGTCATCCATGAGGGCTGAGATCAACTTCTTCCAGACTCCTGTTCATGTTGATATTGTGAGCTCTCCCCATGAATCACGAATGTTATTAGTGGCATCTAGAGTGGTGGATCTTTCCCAGAAGTTTTCCCAGATCCATCATAGGAATCAACATCTGTGCCAGGGATGGCCTTATGAAATATATTTCTTAAATGATAAGACTTGAAAGTTGAAATGACTCCCTGACCCATGGGTTACAGAACGGATGTTGTGTTAGCAAGCATAAAAACATTACTCTCATTGTATATTGGCATCAAAGCTCTTGAATGACCAGGTGTGTTGTCAATGAGCAGAAATATCTTTTTTTTTTTTTAAAGATTTTATTTATTTGACAGATAGAGATCACAGGTAGGCAGAGAGGCAGGCAGAGAGAGAGAGAGAGAGGAGGAAGCAGGCTCCCTGCTGAGCAGGGAGCCTGATGTGGGGCTCGATCCCGGGACCCTGGGACCATGACCTGAGCCGAAGGCAAAGGCTTTAACCCACTGAGCCACCCAGGCGCCCCTGAGCAGAAATATCTTGAAAAGAATCTTTTTTTTTTTTTTCTTTCTGAGCAGTAGTTCTCAACAGTGGGCTCAAAACATTCAGTAGACTGCGTGGTAAACAGATGTGCTGTCATCCAGGCTTTGTTGTTCATTTCTAGAATACAAGCAGAGTAGATTTAGCATAATTCTGAAGGGCCCTAGGATTTTCAGAATGATAAATGAGACTTGGCTTCAACTTAAAGTCACCAGCTGCATTAGCCCCTAACAACAGAGTCAGCCAGTTCTTTGAACTCCAAATCCGGGCATTGATTTCTCCTCTCTAGCTAAAGACGTCCTAGATGACATCTTCTTCCAACAGAAGTCAGTTTCGTCTCCATTGAAAATCTGTTGTTGAGTGTAGCCACCTTCATGAATTCTTGCAGCTGGATCTTCTGGAGAACTTGCAGCAGCTTCTACATCAGCATTTCACCTAGTGCTCTGTGTTACAGAGAAAGCTTTCTTTCAACTTCATGAACCAACCTCTGTGAGCTTCTAACTTTTCTTTCTCTTTCTTTCTTTTTATCTATTTGAGAGAGAGTGTGTGTGAGCACAAGCAGAAGGAAGGGCAGAGAGAAAGGGAGAAGCAGACACCCATTGAGTATGGAGCCCCGGAATGGGGCTCGACGTAGGACTCTACCCAGGACCCTGAATCGTGACCTGAGCCAAAGGCAGACGTTTAACCAGCTGAGCCACGCAGGTGCCCCAGCTTCCAACTTTTCTCCTGCAGCTTCCTCACCTCTCTCAGCCTTCACAGAATTGAAGAGACGTAGGGTTTTTCTCTGGATTAGGTTTTGGCTTAAGGGGATGTTGTGGCTGGTTTGATCTTCCTTCTAGATCACTACAACTTTCTCCATATTAGCAAGAAGACTGTTTTATTTTTTAACATTTATGTGGCCTCTGGAGTAGCACTTTTAATTTCCTTCAAGAACTTCTCCTTTGCATTTACAACTTGGTTAACTGCTTGGCACAAGAGGCCTAGCTTTAAGCCTACCTTGGATTTCAACATGCCTTCCCCATTAAGCTTGATCATTTCTGGCTTTTGATTTAAAGTGAGACTCTGCCTTTCACTTGAACACTTAGAGGCCTCTGTAGGGTTATTAATTGGTCTAATTTCAGTACTGGTTGTGTCTCAAGGAAATAGGGAGGTCTGAGGAGAGGGAAGAAGACAGGGAAATGTCTTGTTGGTAGAGAAGTCAGAACAAACACAACATTTACTAATTAAATCCCCCATTTTATATGCATGCACTTCGTGGTGCCCCAAAACAATTGTAATAGTAACATCAGAGGTCACTGATCACAACTTGACAGTTACCAGAGAGGAGGGTGATGGTGGGACAAGCAAAATGGGTGAAGGGGAGTGGGAGGTACAGACTTCCAGTTAGGGAATAAAAGGCACAGCATTGGGAATGGAGTCAATGTTACCAGAATAGTGTTGTCTGGGGACAGAGGGCAGCTACATTGCGGTGTGCACAGTATAATGTATAAACTTGTTGCATCACTATGTCGTGCACCTGAAACTAATACAACATTGTGTGTCAACTACACTCAAATAAAAACATTTTATTAAAAGTAAAAAAAAAAAGTCACTGATTGCAGATCACCATAACAAATACAATAATAGTGAAAAAGTTTGAACTCTTGCAAGACTTAGCAGAATATGATGCGGAGACAAGATGGGAGTAAATGCTGTTGGCACGGACAGACTTGTTCAATGTAGGATTTCCACAAAGCTGCAATTTGTAAAAAATGCAATACCTGTGAAGCACAATAAAACAAAGTACAACCCAAGAATGTATGCCTGTAGACTGGGGAGCAGCCCCTCCCTGCACCACCCTCATCCATCCAAACGCTATGGGGTGAAGTGGAGCCTTGGTTCCATGCGGACACTGCAAAGTGTAGAGTAGTGGAATTTATCTTCCTCCACCATCCTCATCCGGGCTTGCTCCTGAAAGAATTGTATGTATAAGCTGAAATAATGCTTGAACTCAGGGAGGTTGCTTTGAGAGGCCCTCAGCTGAGCATGAGGAAGAAGAAATGGCTTATCAGGCCATTGTGCTCTGATTTCTACCTCTGTCTGAGGGAACAGGGGACCTGGCATGGGGGACTGTAGATAGCATTGAAGAAGGGGGTGGATTAGGGGTTAACGAGAAGCACAAGTGTCTGGGTAAGATCCCTGTCACCGTGTGTTGCCAAGGTAACGGGCCCCCATGAGCTGTAGAGGTGAGGGAAAAAGCTCTGTCATGTAACAGCTAAGACTTCGCGTCATGACGAACAACTTCTTTGCCTCCAGTGAAATTAAATTAATTAAAACAGCATTCCCTACTGGATTCTGTAGAATGTTACACCAGAAGCCAATGGTGACCTTCCAGCTTTACCAATTTATGGCCCGCTAGACCGCTGCCACCGTGGCTGCAGCCACAGTTTTCGAGGCAACTGGAATGGGGTGTGAGGCGGATAGAGTGGCGGAGCTACCCTGGAATGAGGCAGGAGGGGGGTCCCTGAATCTCTTCTGCACTAGCAGCTAGAAAGAAGATCAGTCTGTGGACATTCAGTGTCCCTAGAGAGGGCTAGAAATATGTAGGAATGGGGAATCCTTGACAGGGGAGGGCTCAGAGTCGTTGAATTTCAGGGAGTTAAATGAATCACTTTGTGCTCATTTATACTCCCAGGTTGATGAAAACCGCAATATAGCAGTCCCATAACATTTAATTCCTGAACCAGAGCAAGAGCTCTGGCCTCTTTATTAACTCTGTTGTCTTTGGTGTCAAGTCATTGGCTTTCTGAGCACAGTGTTTTTCTATTGGTGAATGGTCGATTTGAAGTTTGATCTTGCTTCCTTCTTTTCCTTGGCTGCTAAAATCTGAGTCAGATTTACCACTCAGAAATAATCTATCACACTTTTAAAAAAATTTAATCATTTTTCTTTCCTTTTTAAAAAAAGATTATTTATTGTAGATAGCGAGAAAAAAAGAGAGAGAGAGCATGAGTAGGGTTGCAGAGGGAGAAGGAGCCACTCTCAAGCAGACTCTGTGCTGAGCAGGAGCCAGTCACAGAGCTTGATTCCCAGAACCCTGAGATCATGACCTGAGCTGAAATCAAGAGTCAGATGCTCGACTGACTGACTGAGCCACCCAGGTGCCCCTATTCAGTCATTTTTTTTTTTTGTCCGTTACCTTTTCTCTGTTATGTGGTATACATTCTTCTAACCATCTAATCTTTTTGAAAGAAGGAAGAAGGAGTATGCACAGAAATAAAGAAAGGTAGAATGAAAAAGAGGTAGAGGAGAAGAGACAGGAAGGAAAGTTAACCCATTTTAAAGAGAACATTTACATGGAAAAGTTAATGACATAAATAGCTCAATCTTGACTTGAGATGACTAATCCTAAATTTAACTGCAAGTATAGATCTAACCAGCCAAACCTCCATTCCCTAATAAATTATGGTTTTGCAAAATACAAGTTAGTGATGAGCATTGTTTAAGGTGAACTAGAGGGGCACCTGAGTTGTTCAGTCAGTTAAGTGTCTGCCTTCAGCTCCGGTCATGATCCTGGGGTCATAGGTAGGAGCCCTGCAACAGGCTCCCTGCTCAGCGAGGAGTCTGTTTCTCCCTCTGCCTTTGGCCTTACTCCTGCTTGTGCTCTCTCCCTTTCTCAAGTAAATAAAATAAAATAAAATAAAATAAAATAAAATAAAATAAAATAAAATAAAATAAAATAAAATAAAAAAAAAATAAAATACTGGGGGCGCCTGGGTGGCTCAGTGGGTTAAGCCTCTGACTTCGGCTCAGGTCATGATCTCAGGGTCCTGGGATTGAGCCCCACATTGGACTCTTTGCTCAGCAGAAGCCTGCTTCCTCTTCTCTCTCTGCCTGCCTCTCTGCCTATTTGTGGTCTCTCTCTGTCAAATAAATAAATCAAATCTTTAAAAAAAATAAAATAACGTAAAATAAAGTGAACTAGAGTCAACCGGAAATAATAAAGATGATCAGTTCTGCAATTTATTCTCAAAGAAAAGTAGACATGCATTTTCTATGATATTGATGTGTGAAAGGAGCAATGCTTCTTAGGGCAAAGACACACATAATAGCGCTAAGTCTGAATCATTAGCACATCTTTTGTAGAAATTAGAATACTGGAAGCAGGTATGGGGATTGCTGAAACTCAGCTTCAGGTGTCTAGGTTTAGGGGACACAGAATCCCTGTCCTTGAACTCAGCCAGGTTAGCAAGTAATTGTAATTCAAAGCAATAAATGCCATAGTTGAGTCACACGTATATACATGGGTAATTAATTCTGCCTGAAGGAGTCCAGAATATCTTTGTAGAGTAGGGAGCCTCTGAACTTGCTCTTAACAAACGAGGGTCTTCAGACAGGTTGAATGGAGGAAACCACACAGAAGGCAAGCAGCCATCAGGGTATGTGGTTGCTGGGGACTACTTACCACTGCTGAGTTTCAGACAACATCACTACAACATGGGACTAGGCAGAAACATCTGCACTGTACCCTGGTGCATCAGACTTCGAAAAAGTTGCTTGCAATAATAACTCATTGTCTTTGGCCTCATAATTATTTAATATCTGCTTTGTTCTCACAAACCTGGAGCCTCCCCTAGGCTTCCTTCTTTACATCCCTCTTCAGTTCTCTTACTACTCACTTTTTATTGGCCGAGTGGCTCCCAGTTATAATCAACAAGCCAGAGGCTAATTTAAACTTCCTGAGGGTTCATCCAAATGTGAGGAATTGGTTTCAGGGGCTTTGCTATTACTAGTTGTTAACCCTGAGATACCTAATCTTTTGGAAATACTGCCGAGCAACTTTCAGAGTTCAGATACATGTCTAGATAAAGTTCTTTCATTTGGGATCAATTCTGGTCTCTAGTTCTGGAGATGCTATTGGGACTTCGCTAATTGCCGTTACCTTTCTTGAGCTGAGCCTTCTGTGCCAGCTTCTCACAGACAAGTGTGGGTTAGTTTCAGGCAGAAGGGGAGGTTTGGCATGGTTGGCATGTCCAGCTCAGCACTTTAGAATAATAGGATTACCACTTTGATAGATGGCCATAAAAGCATAGCAGTTGAAATCTGTTATACACCGTTATATACTTTGTCTGGGAGTTTTATCTGGTTAGATACTTGAGCACCTGAGTGTGGAAAAATTAGACAGCTTTTTTATGAACCAGATTTTGAAGGTATAGTAGGATTTATCAGGCCAAATCCATTTATTATGACAGATTCTGGGAAGATTTGGTAATAGCAGTGATATTTACTCTATAGAGGTTAATAACTCCTCTAACACACTCAACTGGAAATCCTAATAAATTTTCTACTAGGTGCCAGCCACTTTGTCCATAACAAGGTAATCCTTTCAGTCCTACAAAGGAGGTTTGTTATTATTCTCATCCTAGAGTTGAGCGAACAGGCTCAAAGAGGTTGATGGACACAGAACCAGGAAACCAAGAGGGAGATCAGTGTTCTGCTTACCTTCCCAAGTTTCTACTTCCCCTATGATGGCTATGCTCTCTAAAACCAGTAAGAAGCATGTATCAGAGTTATTACAAGATTTCGGTCTACTTAAGATTGTTCTCCTACAATTTCAGCAAAAGTCAGAAAGGTGATTGTGCTTCCAGGAGACTGAATTAAAGCAAGGAGCAAGCTGGTAGAACAAACATTCCCAAAGGATCACAAAACACCTAAGATAAGATAGAACACTGAATGTCATGCTGGAATAACTTAAGACTGATCTTGTTTTAATTTTGTAGGGTCTCTTTATTTTCCTCTTGCACTTTATTTTTAAACTGAAGGCCCTAAGAATGTTGGGTTGGAAGCCCTTCAAAAAAGAAACTATATATATATATATATATATATATATATATATAATTTTTTTTAACATACTACTGATAGAAGTGTAAACTGTTAAGTTTTCCAGGGGGCAAACTGGCAATAACAAAAGCTTTAAAAAAAAAAAACAAAAACAAAACTGGCATATCCTCTCCACTAGCAATTCCATTTCCAAGCATTCATCTTAAGGAAACATTAAGAACACACAAAAGATTTAGCAACATGAAGTTCTTTAAAGCAGTTTATTAGTGAAAAACTGGAAACCTAAAAATCAACAATAGTTTAATAAAATGTGGCACATATGATGGCATACCATGCAGCCATTAAAAAAGATGTAGAAATATATTTGACACAGCAGGATAGTTATGGTATTGTCAAGTGAAAAAAAGTTACAAAACAGTATGTACAACTTGATTCCATTTAAAAAATGTATAAATGCACAGAAGACTCTGGAAGGCTATACACCTCAATTACAGTTCTCCCAGACGGTGGGATTATAGGTGATTTTTCTTTAAACTAAATTTTCATTTTTTTTTCCTTTTTACCAACACATCTATGACTTGTATTATTTCCAAAAAAAAAAAAAAAAAAAAGCCTTAACAATTCTTAAAAAGTCTCCTGTGAAGTAGAAATGAAAGAGCTTAGCAACCTGAGGCACAAGGATGTAAACGTTAATCTGAAACCTCATTCATGGTTTGCCAGGATGCTTTAATGTCAAATTGTCACTGTGTTAAGTGGAAATGTGCATGGTCGTAGTGCTGACCCTTCTTCAGACTACAGGATCCATTCCTAAGAAACTCTCCACAGCAACCAAGTCCTGGCATTCCAAGTACTATTTCCCTTGCTTACCCTAAGCATACCCTTATTCCGTCACAAGCATTCATAATACAGCCCAGCAAGGTGCCTCTACACTTGAGAGAGCAGTGCTGGGTGACGGTGCGGAAGCCAGGGAGGATTTCTCCAGTGATGTCAGGTAGTACCTGAAGGTGGAAGGCAAGTTTTTGTTTTCTACTGAAGTGGTTCTCAAACTTGTAAAAACAGATTCAGTAGATCTTGGATAAGGCTTAGGAATTGCATTCCTCCCCTTTCATTTGACAAATATTTACTGAGTACATACAATGTGCTAAGTCTTGTACTAAGAGTTGGAAATTTGTGATTTAAAAAAAATTATAACCTCTACCTCAGGGAGCCTGTATTCTAGACTGATAGATACATACTAATCAAATAAATTATAGAACTATATAATTATGACAGTATTAGAATACAGTAAAGATCAGAAGACAGTTTTTGTCTTCAACTATTTTTACAATGTTACATGGAAGAACTAAGACTAGTTCTATAGCCTCAAGATAAAAAATTCAGTACAAATAAAGGTAGAAAGTACTTGGAAATATGAATTAGCATTTGAAACAAGTCCCTAGGTGATGTTGATACTGCCTTTCCTGGGGTCTCACACAGAGAACCACTGCCCTACTGAACAGACTTTCTAATTAGGATAATGTGGGAGAAAGGGCACAACTCCCTTCTCCCCTTTAGAGTCTCACCACAAGGTAGGGGCCACTTAGTCATCTGGAGGAGAGGTTGAGGCAAAGCTAGCTAGCTATTATAGCTCCTTATTCAGGACTTAAGTACTACATACTAGAAAAGAGATTTCAAAATTTCAAGCACTTGGGAGGTAGGGAAGAGATTTTTTGAGGAATCCAGTCAACACATGGAGGTAAGCTGGGCTCTCTGGGTAAACAAACTATTGATTCCTGTCCTGCACTCTGTCATCTTTCCCACAGTGTATCTCAGAAATGCCCTCCCACACCAGCTCCTCCGTTCACATTCTGTTCCTTTGTTCTGGTGGAGAACGACAGACTATAAGGATGCCTCTCAGCCACTGGCGACCCCAACCTCAGGTCTCTTAGCTCTCCTGTTACTCAGAATGAGGCACATTCCCATTTCTGGGACCTAATGTCCTACAATATGAATTTTTCTGACTAGCACCATAAAAAACAATTTAACACCATGACCTCTTATGTTAGATTATTTTGAGAACAAATGTAGAAACAATCCAATCATTTTTGTCTGTCTACAAAAGTGCCTATAATTATTTCCAAGTTTATTATTTCATTCATATGTGCATCTTTCACAGGTTAAGCTCAGGGGCACAGAGCTTATTTAAATCATTTAAAATTGCACCATGTTACTAGCCTTCCCAAGCTTTTCTTCCATGCCTAAGAACCTTTATGGGCTTTTACCTGAGTAAAAATTAAATCCATGACTTCAGAAGTCAAAACCAAAATAAAAAAAAACCCACAAAAAAAAAAACAAGCTAACCCCCCCCCGCCCCCACAAACAAAACTCCTTTAAAGTAAAAAGCAACAAACATAAGAACAAGTCCACGTATTATAGTGGATTTGTAGTAGACAAAGGCACAAGAAGCATTCGAATCTTAGTATTATTGAAGGCTACTGCACATAGGGTTATAGTCAACATTCGTTTGATGGAAAACAGAAGGTTCTGATAAAAAACTTATGCTGGCTGCAGTGAGGTTAAACCTAGATCTAGGTCTCCTTTAAAGTGAGGTGGAGGACAGGGTCGATGAGTAGAATAGAGCGTGGGTATAAAAGGTATCTCTAGTACACAGTCATAAATAAGGCCTATGCTCTGGTTGGTCAGGAAGCTACAGGGGCTAATAAAGCGAAACTGATATTTACAGAATGTTTCTACTATTGTCAAACCTTTCCCTAAAAATGACTTACCACACAAGTTAACATTTGCTACAGAATCCTCATAGTAACCTTAGGTGGCATAATTATTATCCCCATTTTACTAATGAGGAAACAACAGTTGATACAATGTTGGAGTCCAAGCTCAAAGAGCACAGGAAGATTGGATTTGAACCTGCGGCCATTTCACTCCAGTCCCCATACTTTCCCCCACTTTACTACTCTACTTCCCATAAGCCTAATTTATAGTTGCTGTTTGAGTTGCCCTGGATTTTTTGTATGATCTTTTAAAACCTAAACCTGAACTCATGTCACATGAAAGACAGTACCCCAGGCTGGCTCTGGAACTTCCTTTCTAGGAAAATAAGCAGCTCACTCACTCACCTGGAGCTATAGCTAATTAACCAGCTTGAACAGCTTTTAGGGTTGAGTATGGTGATTCACGGTGTGAATCAAAATGTCTTTGTACAATTAAAAAATTGCAGAGGAATGTGTCTCAGTACAGAAATAAGAGGGTAACAACTACTGTTGAAGTTTGGACTGTGAACTAAATTATTATCAACATGTTTACAAAGCTCTTACTAGGAGCTCTTAAACACATTTTAAAATACATTTTTTGTGTTGTGTTCATCATTTTTTAAAGTACCAAAAAATATTTCAATACATTAACATTCTCTGCAGAAATCATCTACATTTTTGCACTTCATGTGTAAGCCAGACTGAAATACTACTTGTAATTGTCAGAATATGCTACATTCTCTTTCCTCCAGGCCTTGCACATCTTTTTCCCTATGCCTGTAACACTTCCTCTCCAAACCATCTCCTACTCCCCAAATCTGATTTAGGTGACTCCCAAAGTTCCCAAACAGTACCCTGTATTTCTTCTATCATGACATGGATTCTGTTACATGGCAACTGTTTATTTTTCTGTATTCTCCACTGGTCTTTAAGGTTTGCTGGGGAAGGACTGTGCAGCTCAGTAGATCAGTATAGTGCCTGGCCCTCAACAATGAATGAATGAAAATGAATGCAGAAGTCCTAACATGGAAACAATCTGATTAACAGCTATGGTCCAAATAGCAATTTTTTGACGGCAAGTGTGGCACTAATGATTTCATTAGTGTGTTTCATAACCAGAGATCCTGATCAAGATAACCTAAGTTCATTAATAAACATTCAAAATTAGTAGGCTTAGAGTAGCCAAAAATGTATTCTGTTTGTATACAATTTTTCTATGATGGGTGTAGTTGCACTAATCTATATTTTGATAAGTTGCACTAATCTATATTTTGATAACGACTGTTGTTCCATAAGAACAAATTCTCTTTACTGAAGTATGTTCTTAACATATCTGATTCTGATTATGCATTACATTGTTCTAATTGAACAACCTTAAAAAAACATTGTTTAGCGAATTGAACTTGATCCAGATGTTTTAGAACCTTAGCTGAAAATATACCAGAGTAATAATGCTTTTCAAGGACTGGTTTTTCTTAACTTTAGAAGAAATCATTTAGTAGTGTTTAATAAAAGCCCCAAAACCCCCTAACACTGAGATACAGTATTGAAATAATTCAATTTCTGTTGGAAAACAAGGTAAACATGGTATAATTGCATTTCTGTTTATGGAAACATTCAGAAATAATCTATTTTCTACAAAAGAGGATTATATCCTAGAGCTCTTTTTAAAACAACAGCTTAAAACAAATTTTAGTTTTATTCTTTGGCTATTAATTATACCTAATAAATGAGTCACTGATATCAATTCACAATAAATTTATTTTACATAAAAGAAAAAGCTTGCCATTAATGAAAAATTCAGTAGAAAAACAGTTCTTCTGCTTTAAGTTGGAGCTCAAAAGTAGAAGCTGCTTATTAGTGAAACCTCAGTAGAAAGAGAATTTTGTAAGAAAACATTCTTGGCATGAAAGCACTAGCATAAATTCTGTAATGAAATATGTACCATGCAATTTTATTGGCAGAAAGGCTGGCTTCTGGTGGCTGGTATTTTCTTTTCAGTCTCCTAAGAACATTAACATGGAAGATACTTAAACCTGCTTTATTTAGAGTTAATTGTATATAAATACTGGTGTCATGATGGGTAATCTTTCCATAGTCCACCTATTTAATTGAGCAGTTCTAAGTAGGTAATTGGCACCCTGCCCTTCTGATTTCCCCTTTCCCCCATTAGCCAGTCTGAATCCATTCCAACGACACTGAACACAGTGATCACCTACAAAATAAAATATTTCCAGTTATTAACTATGTTACAAAATAAGCAAATAGAAGAGTAATCAGATTTGTAATCTGTTTATTCATTACTAAAGTTCTTTAAACATTTTCCTCAATTTTGGTAAAAGATAAAGGATTTTATTAGAGGTAGTTTTAGAAATCTTCTAGTTACTTAACAGTTAAAAGCTTTAAATATTTCTGTGATATTCTATTTTGTTAAAGAATAGTAGTTAATTTTTTTTTATAAAATGTTATTATAACCATCTTAAATCTATTTCGATAATTCACGATAAACTATTTCCAAAAAATTAATGTGGAATTTACACTTTACTATAATACTAGAAAATACGTCAATCTATGATACAGGTTTTCTTATACCCATATATTACTCACCTCATCTGCCAGAAGTGATAATTCACTACTGTTTGCAGCATCATAATCATACAGAACCCTGGCCTTCCTGCTGCCACTGCACTCCTTAAGGTCAATGAGGTTGGTAGGAGAGGCAATTACTAGGCCACTTGTTGAAGACAAGGCAGAAGAACCAATCACATTTGATGAAGCAGATGGCACGGGTGCCACAGAAGTTTGATTGTTGTTACAGTAACTGGATGGAAAACTGTTGAAAAGAAAATGTCCGATAGACCAGTTACTAGAGCTTCTGAATACCACCACTTGGTGGCAGTATTCTTCCACTGGATAAAGATTTACAAATGTCAATAATATTTTATTGACAAAGGTTGCTATCTAATTTATGCCTTTCAGGCCAGTTATACTATAGAAAATTCAAGTGTTTTCCAAATATAAGTCCTTCAAAGTTTCTTTTTTTTTTCAAAGCTCTCTTCACAATTATAAAGTTAAAAAAATGCCATTTTTTTCCTGAAAAAATTGAGTTTATCCTTAAAACACTTCCAAAAAACTTTCACTGGTATGTTTTATTAATCTTTTCCTGCCTTTAAGAGTTGTTAAACACAATGAAAAACTACTTCTATATTAGATACTATCACAAGAGTGAAATTTTTCTCAAGTTAATTCTTTGAGAAATATTTCAATAGCCATACTCTTTTTTTTTTATAAAACTGATCCAATCACATTTTTCTACTTATTCAAATGACAAATATTTATGGAGCATCCACATATCCAGAACCACTACCACAAGCTGAAGATACTAAGAAGAAAAAATATCATTCCTTAATGGGCAGACAGGTGACGAAATGGGCATTCAAATATTATGCTATGACTAGTAATTATCATAATGAAGACTCAAAGTGAGAATAGGGCAAATTTCACAAGTTCATTCTGTCTTCTATTTTTTAGGGGGTAAAAATAAAAGTTTTATTAGAAATTAGTAAAATCTCTGTGATTGATGTGCTAGAAATATATCTTAAAATTTAAAGATAATTAAAATTTTCATTCAATGTTTCTCCAATATTAAATGGAAAACAGCATAAAATGGCTGGCCTATATTCATTCTCACCCAACAGTTTCTAAGGTTGAAAATTCATATTTAAATCTTAATAAGTATAAAAATACCTCATCTGGTAAGGTGGGTGAAATTGATCTCTCCATAAAATCCAGTTTCCTTCTCTTTATGACCACTGTGCCATCTGGAAATCACAGTCAGCCAGCAGCATAAAGAAAGTAGTTAAATTCTAGCAATTATCCCCTAACCTTTATAATCAGCCAATGAGTTGTTTCCTTTTGAACTGAGTAGAAAAAGAACAATCACAAAACATCTAAGCTTTTGTGATCATCTGTCCTCTTAACTACAGATGAGCTGTCTACACTTCTATGGTTAATTTCTTCACTTCTGCACAAAAATCTCACTTTCTTTTTCCTCTCGAGGACATCACACTAGCAATCTTCCTTTTCTTTCCCATGCTATCTTATTTCTCCATGTACTGTATCATTCTCATCAGCTTACAAATATGCTAATTTCTATCTTAAAAAATAAGAATATGCTAGACAAACTTTCTCCTATAGCTACTGCTTCATTTTTCTGTTCCTCTTTACACTAGAACGTCTCTGAAAGACTTATCTAAATTCAACATCACAGTCCCTCTCCTGGTCTTTTACATTATAGACAAGCTTTTGCCTCCACTGTTCCACTAGAACTACTTTTGTCGACAGCAATGACTTTGGTGTTCTAAATCCAGCAGTCTATTAATACTCCTCATTTCACCTGGCCTATCTAGTGATCACAGTGGATCCCTTCCCTCCACTTTCCTCTATCTTCTTCACCCCACTTCCAGGTCACACTCTTGGTTTACATCTTACCTGTTACTCCATTCCACTGCTTCCTTAAGCTGTGTTGGGAGTGCTTCAAGGCTCAACCCTTAGCCCTCTTCTTTTCTCTACCTATACTTAGAGCCAGGCTTTCATTTGGTCTCAGATTTAAATACCCTTGGTAAGCTGACCACTCTCTAATTTCTACCACTAATTTATCCCCCAAACTCAAAAGCTGCATGTCCTACAACTGGGTATCTCCATATCTCCACTTAGATGTCTGATAGACATTTCAAACTTCACATGTCTAAAACTGGGCTTCTGGTGTAAACCTGGGGTGATACACCACCCCAACCTGCTCCTCCTGTGGCATTCCCTATTTTAACTAACTACAGCTCCATTCTTTTAGTTGTTCAGGCCAAGCACCTGCAGTAATCTGGACCCCTCTAAGCCCTATATAATTGAAGTCTGTCAGCAAATCCTGCTGGTTCAACCTTTAAAATACACCCAGGG